ATAAAATCAATTTATTTATTTGTTTTTAAAGATGTTTTCTATGTACAATCCCAGCAAAAAGTAGCTGAAAATCAATATTGACGAATATATTCACTTTTGGTGTATTTTGAGTAAGAAATTGTATGGAATATTACAATTTGATCTTAACTACAGGGCAGAGATGTATTTTTTAATATTTATTGCGTTTTTATACTGAAATATTCCGAATTTTGTTAATCGAAATGATTAACTTTTGGCAGAAAATTTCGCCTTGTGACAGATACATGGCTAACTTGATTGAATTATATTTAATATCTTTTTAACCAGTTAGTACTTGTATAATATTATTTGACCAAATGTTTTCTCTGTATCTAAACTTTTGTAAATTTTAAACAAATTCTGAATATTATTTCCATGTGTTTTTGTCATTTCAATCGACGTGATTATACGTTTCCCATAAGAACACATGTTAATTCGGTGTAAATTAAAATCCTTATAACCTTGTGAACGCTTTAGTGAATCGATTCAAAAATTGTACTAAAGATTCTAAACATATGTAAGGACATACTGTATAATTTTAAATTAAATTCTCAATATTTTCAAAATAGGTACAAAACATCCTTAATCCAAAGCAAAAATCTCTATTTTATGTATACTAAATTTATGTATACTATTTATGTATACTAAATTTAAATTAAATTGTAGACAGACAGATTGCATTTTTTTATTCGAATTTTTAAATTATTTAAAATGGTCAAGAATTTTAGATTGCGATAATCTAAATATTCAAAATATTAAGTAATATTGGCGGAGTTCAGTGCGCGTTATAATTGTAAGAGATATTATTTAAGCTTGAATCTTGCATAATTCGTATTATATTACCGGTTACACGCCATTGTTAATAACAAGCTTGGCTCACATAATTCTCTATGATGCAGTAGTATGTGTCATTGTTAACGGAGTTTGAGTTTCGTTTCCGACACGAACGCTCGTTACTCTGCACTGTGCCGTTGAGTTACAGGAGAAGATAAATTTTTCGAATCACCTATAGCGGCGAGTTCGCGCATCGCGAAATGTGCAGCGCGATTGCCAGCCCGACCGTAGCGATCACCGTGTCCCAAGGAGATTTGTTAACTTCTAGCAAACAGAAGTTTATCAATAAAATTGCTTTTACAGTGTAATACCGCTCTGGAGTTTCGCCAAATTCGGCCATCCAACTCCTGCGCAACATTTCCCAACGACTCACACACTTGCGACATGACCGATGCGCTTGTATGCGACTCCGGCGTGCATATTTAGAATGCGCCGTTCGCTTTAATCATTTAGTAACTCGACATGGTAATTACGTTGGTCCTGGCTAATGCCATGCACAAATATCCGCCAAGTTATTATTTTATGCTGGAGATTATCAATTCCCGGCTGTGTACATAGTTAAACGTGTAACCGCAGGTTTATATTATACATATCGCGTGAAGCTATTTTCATATTGAATTCCATGAGCGTCAGAACCTTGCGATGCACTTTCTGGCTTACGAGACGATTCTCCACATTTTTTTCAATCAAATAAGAAAGAGAGAAAAATACGGACGTAATAAAAAGCGGATAATCATGATATAATGCAGAACGTTAGGAATATTTCAGAAAAATAGCGGAAGATATTCGTAGAATACATTCCTCTAAATTTTTAGTACTGTTTGCATTAAGCAGTTTTGTCATCGTGGAAAGAAACACCTATTATATAATGCGCATAATATCCCAATAGAGTTTTGCAAAAATGTTTGCAAATTATGTCATCGTTACTTCAATGGATATTACAATGGATATTACTCTTTCGCGTAATGGAATAAAATCACCATAAAATTGTCCATTTCGTAAAAGATTGAAATCACAATAAAAATAACTGCATAAATCGTAGATCAACAGGTCCCATTATGAATTCTAATTTGAAAGATATTCAAATGTAATTAGGTTAAGAAATTGTAAATTCATATATTTTCTAATTACAAATGATGTAATAGGAGATAAAAGCAACGTGATAAAGTCTTGAGAAAGTATATTATTATAACGCGAAACGTATTAAATGTTGGCACGCGATATTTTACAGTGTAAAATATACAAATATTGTGAAATACAGCCAACATAATAAGTGTGATTTTGATGAGTTATTTATTGAATTATAGATATCTTGATAAATAAATAGGAAAAGAGATTTCTGACGACAGAAACATAATTAATTGTCCTAGTTATTTTCCAAAAATCAATAGATTTTACTATAATGGAAGTAATTAAGCTCATATTCATACAATTATTTCAACTATATAATTACAATCATTACATCATGTTCATTAATGCTAATGAAAGTAATATGAATATCCTTAATATTAATAACAATTTTGTTTTTATGTTAAAAATATGATATTTTACTAAATATAAATTATAACTATATATAAATTATATATAGAAATAATCCATATTTTTATGAAAATATTTTACTGTTTAATAAAAACAAAATAAATATATATTTATATATATTTATATATATTTATATATATTTATATATATTTTTATTTTGTCTTATAGCCATTTTTACTATAAGTTTCCTAGTATAAATGCCACTAATTTTAATATCATTAATCTCTCTAGCAGCAATTAAAATATTTTTATTTATTAAAAAATATAATATCTTAAATTTATTTATTATAATATTTTAATGTTTATTACATACAGGGTATTCATTTTAAAACTTTACATCTATTTATTTCATGATTTACTATTTTTTAGGAAAAATAATAAAAGACGTCAATTTTGTTTTCGATAGTAACATTAAAGTACATTAAATGCAACAAAATTTTTTCATCCCGTTCGTCGGGTTAACTATCCCTTCAAAAATTTTAAATGACAATAGAGGCCAAGTGATATATTATTTTAAAGGTCTTTTGATTTTCTGTACAACTCTCTTTCTCTTTTTTATTTAAGTGAATATTTTTCGAGAAATCGCACTTGGAAGTTTTAGGTGCAAAGTTTTAGGTCCAAAAAGTTTTACATGCAAAAATATAATTTGGAGTAGAATTTATTTATTTGTCATTTATTATAACAAATGTCGAAATGTTCTCCATTGTTTTCTGAATAATAATATAAACGATTCTAATAATAATAATAATAACATAAACGATTCTCAAATTCTAAAAGAACTTTTGAAAAAGATTTTTTCTGTAGAAGCACTTAAAATCCATTGTTTATGAAATAACAGTATAAAATTTAAACGATTTGCATCGAAGAATTGCACAAAAATGCAGAACTATTTCTATAGAAACTTTTCAAAATGTTTGTTCAGAAGTTGAGAATCGTTTATATTATTGTTTAGAAAACAAAGGAGAATATTTTTTTTAACATTTGTTATAATATTTAACATTTGTTATAATAAATAACTAATAAATAAATTCTACTCTAATATGTATTTTTGCATGTAAAACATTTTTGACATTTAAAACTTCCAAGTGCGATTTCTCGAAAAATATTTATATAAAAAAAAGAAAGAGAGTTGTACAGAGAATCAAAAGACATTTAAAATTATATATCACTTGGCCCCTATTGCCATTTAAGATTTTTGAAGATGATAAAAGAATTTCGTTGCATTTAATGTCCCCTTTGAAAACAAAATTTTTCTTGATTTTGGCATTTTTCGCAAAAATAGTCTATCGTAAAATAAATGGATGGAAATTTTTAAAATGAACACTTTGTGTATACAATAATTGTATCATTTGATAATTTTAACTCTCGTAAAAAATAAGAAGTAGCATTTTTTCTTATAATTTAAAAATGAATTTATATATAACTGTGTAAGATTTTATATATGTGTATATCTTAGTTTAATATATAAATATATATGTATAGTACATATGTATATGTATCTCTATATATCTCTATATAAGAGAAAGTTTATGACGATTTTTAGAAAAATATTTTTTAAATGTGATTCTTCAACGAAGCATAATCAATAATTATAATATTAAAATTTAAATTATAAATAAATTACTTGAATAGTATCATCATTGCTATCATCGCGGAAATAAATCATTTGTTATCCAAGCAAAGTGAAATTTTTCGCATGTTAAAACTTCCTGATTCTCTAACGCGATGCACTAAATGTGCCGAAACTACAAGTAACGGAATTTAGCGTTGGAAATGGGCTTCGCCTTCGAGATAAGGATGTTAGGGAGTTACACTTTGATAGTGGAGAACTAGGAAGGATCGTCACATCGGGCATCAACTGGCGGCACCCGGTTCTACCACGTGCGAGAATGAAGCTTCACGGCAGCAACGACGTCTCGAATCCTTAATCGCGTAAATGGAGTTTATTTCGCGCATCAAGCAAGTCGTGCGAACTTTCAAGGCAGTTACGTGTGACTTGGCGTGCGATGCATACGTTAACGTGAAGCGATTTCCAGTCAACTTGGTATCCTTTACTCGCAACATAAGTCTTTAACTATTCGACTTTTGTTAAAACCACATCAACTGCAATAATTTTATCTAATTTCTCTTATTTCTTCATTCTCCAATGCTCTAATATTGTTGATAGAACGGGAACTTTTATATTAATTTTTTTGTTTCTTTAATTAAAATCTTCTTGTTGTAGAACCATTTTAATTATAAAATTTGTATTTCTCGAATTTTTTAATATATAATATTCACGAATCAAATTTGGGAAAAATTTGATTGTAAAGTATGTAGTAAAATTTTATTCTTTCCACTTTTTCAATATGTGCGTAAATGTTTAAAATTAAAAAAAATTGAATTATTAATATTTTATTATATTATATTATATTATATATTATATATTTTAGTTAACAAGTTTATGTGGTAAAATAAAGAAACAAGAAGTTAAAGATTGTTAGCACAGATTAGATTGCATTAATTGATGATATTAAAAAATAATCAATCTTGATAAGAAGTTTGTATCGAGCGAAAAATAGCAAAGTCTCGTATCATCCGAGTATTTCCGATTCAATTATGAAACTCACCTCGTTTCGAAGCATGGAAACTATCCTGCGGCTGTATCACTTCGACCTGAGCGCTGAGTCTAGACTTGGGCAGAATGTCCCGGTTGGCGTTGATCTTTTCCGCGGCGTAGCGAAAGGCCACTTCCTGCTTGTCGTCCGATGGATGAAACAGCCCACCTGGGAAATCACGCATCCATATTAAAGAGTGCTACTTTGACGAGAGCCATGCGCGCGTACTCCTTCTTATTTTCCGTCTGTGATCACCATCACACACAGATCTCTTCTTTATCCAACCATCCATCTATCTGATCCTCTGTCCGTCAATATAATCAAACGATAAAAATGTATGATCCATTTACATCTTTGCACAAAATGATGTAAACCACATAATTCATATTCCATGTAACTTTACTATTCAATGTATTTTATGTGCGTGTGTTTATGTATTATAAAATAATGCGTTTTAGACAGTTGTGATATTACAGTGTATAGTTTTTATATTTAAAAAATATATTTTTTTTAATTCTTAAATATAAATATATTTCCGACAACAGATTATAATATTATTATGGAAATAATATAAGTAGTATAAACAAAAGGCGTATAAAGAAACAAATAGTAGAAATCATAATATCGCGTTCAACTACAACGAAAGATTAAAATTTAGGAAATATCTGTATATTTTTGAAAATAATACAAAGTTTTTATATATTTTATGCTATCGGAAAAGCCGACGTAAATTATTATACATTCCATCTGCTGTCATTTGCATCATCTCGCATCGCATAAGTACTCTTGATAGTTTCTTCGTGTGGTCCGCTCAAATTCCGCACCTTCCAATTCATTCAGTTAGGAGAAATTGGCGCCATAAATTGATTTTAATCTCGTGTACGTCATAAAGTAACTGTACGAGCAGCTGCGCTGGCTTGACTCCGCGATTTATAGAATTTCCGGGATAGATTTACGTCTCTCGTTAGTGAGCTGCTATCGATTTACTTTAGCGCACTTCGTAAAGCTGTTCGATTCGCCACGGTCATTGTAACGTACAATAATGAGTAAAATATAGCGCAAATAAGAAAAACTGAATAGCACAGGAATATGACGTGAAGTCTGGAATGTGAAACAAAAAAGCACGTAGCTCTCGCATCGGGAGAATAAATTTTATAAAATTGTTATGCCAGATTCGTAAGAATAAATATGAAATTAATATATCTTCTATAAAATTTCCATTAAAAAGAAAAGAAGGGAGATTGCGGGATGCTAGAGGACGCGATTAAAAACGCGTAATAACATTAACTTATCATCAATCAGTCGAATTCGTGTTATGAATAATGTCAAGCATGTGTACGAGAATGCACATTGTGAAAAATCGATATTTCCAGCCAATGGAATAAAGTCGCGAACATTCTGTAATAAAAATCGATCCTTATATCAATTAAATATTTCCTTGTTTGTAAGCCAAATTTATTAAACTCGTTTATTCATTGACCATTGGTAAATTATTTCGCTCAAATTGATGAAGCAATACGTCGCTCTTTCATCGCAACCATTACACGATGAAATAAAAATGGTAAATTAATCCCAACTGAATACGTAAGGGTTTATTCCGAGAATTCCATCCCTCGGTTTAATTATACACTCGAAAAAGCCAGTTTATCGTTGGTTTATGCAAATAAATAGAGAAATATATACAACCACATGCGAGTTTTTAATCTTGAGTTTGACGAGAAGCATGTTTGTAGTAACGTTAAATCTAAAATGAGCGAATGATAAATTGCTGTAAATGGAAGATTCTCTATATATATAATTATAAGGATAGCAAAAGACAGCTTTTTATCAGCTCATTAATGATTATTGGTTGCATATTTTTAATTATGTACATAAATTTATATAAATACATAAGGATATAAATTTAATATATATATATATATATATATATATATATATATATATATATTATGTATTTAAATCGCTATATACGGATAGAGATCTGTTCATATATATTTTTACAACATAAAATTAAAAGAGATTTATCTTTACAAACTATTTTATATAAAAAAACAAGCACTATTTTTCCTCTTCATTATTTAATTCACCAACGGAATTTTAATAAACTATGATTGTTTGATTAACAGTAACGATGAAAAAACAAATGGAAATGTTGCAAAAGAGCGTCAAGAAAGCTGCAGCAGATATTGAGTATCAAAGAGAATGCTGAGAAAATTAGAAAACTAAAATACGAACCATTTAAAATTCAATCTAGCTAATGCAAGCTAAAGGAATTTCTAGCGACGTCTCTTTTATCTCGATGCGTCTCTTTTCATATTATTCCGATAAATTCTTTTGCCTTTCAGCGTTCCGATACAGAAAGATATTAACCATACACACGCCATTGATACGCTATGGAACAAGCAAACGTAGCACAAATGAATGCATCAAAACTCATAGCGAGTACAGCAAGCATCTTCCTGAGCACTGACGTATAATATTGATCCGCTTTTGCCTCTCGCATCGTTATTTTAAAAAAGAAAGCAGCTCTCGCAGAAGTGCAACGTGAATTTACATTTCGATAAAAGTTCAAAGTGTAGTCTGAACTCATGTTACTCGCATGTATCTGTATACGTCGTATTTTAGAAACGACGATTGTAATGTTGAACGTAATAACAATTTCACATGATTTTTCGTATAAAATCTACAAATTGCTATTGTTTTATCATATTGTAAAAGATAAGAATGCAATACAGAAATCGAATACAAATATGTGTATAAAATGCTTGTATTATTAAACACAATATTTGTGTTTGGAAAAAGATGCATAAATTAATGATATTGAGATATAGATATAGCAGCCAATGTAATGTAATGTATTACATTGTCATTAGATTTTAATAACTATTGGTATTGCCTTCGGATAACGATAGCATGTTTATCGAACAATATAACAAAAGCTTTGTGTATGTGTTCCTTTAAATAAATAAATTTTTTTTCTGTTAAAAAGACACAGTTTAACAAAAATCACTGCACTTTATAATCACGTAGTTATAATAATTTTCTCTTTTGTAATGAAAATTTAAATATGCATAGCTTTTATGTCAAAGCAATTGAACATTTGTATGCCCGAAACTAAAATGTTATACTTTTGAAACATTTTTTCTAATGGAATAAAATAATATTTTGCATTAAAAAAGAAATATGCTACAATTTAAATATAAGTTTTACATTTTTGATATTATATTATTTCAGTAATTAATATGTAAATGTTAATTCATTTATGTAGATCTATTTAAAAAAATTTATGATAACTATACTTATTTTACCAATTTTTATCATTGTTATACATGTATATATACATATAATATTTAAAAAAATAAAAACCTTGTTTAAACTATTAGAAAATATGAATAATATATTCTTTTTATACGAATATTTGAAGAAAGTAAAAAATGCATAAATAAAATTATCGCTCTCTTTTGTCATCGCTTTTTTATCGTGCAATATATTTTCAAATAAAATAAATTTTTGGATGTTGTACTTTTAATTTCAATTTTGCAATCTTTTTGTGAATTGTATGGATAGAAATATGCTGTCCTGTTTACAGTCAACCATTACTGCTTTTAATATACTCATAGGCAGCTAATTCGCGACATTTGATTGTGAAATACCTCGTATTATATATCCGCTGTATACGCAGTAGTACAAGCATGGCTGGCATGGCTGGCATCGAACTGATTTTCTCTCTGACGCGCAATAGAGCCAAAACTTTTGTAATTATCATCGATAAAATGCTTGTTTCGTTGTCCATGTTTCGTTGTCAATGTTCCATTTGCATCACCATCAATGCAAATTAAACAAAGCACAGTTAGTAATGCAACATTACAGTCGTTAATTTCAATTATTTGTGCTTCGCAACCGAAACATTTTCACGGAGCTATTATAATGTAACGTTAGCAATTACTATGCGTATATGTAAGAAAGCATGAAGCAAGAATAATAGCAGATCGAAAGTAAGGTGATATAATTAGCAAGAACATAATTTTGAATAAAACTACAAATATAATTTGAAACGATTATGATTTTACAATTGTAAAAAGATAAATAATAACGTTACAGTTGAACGATATATACAAAAAATCCCCATATAAATCCCTGTGAAAGATATGATTTGTGTTATTTGCCGCATTATACAATACAAATGAGAGTATTATATAAATTCGAAATATATCAAATTATATATAAATTATATATAAAATTCGAACATTCTTTATTATAAAAGATACAAAATATAAAAGACACAAAATTTGAAATTAATTTATTATTTGTTATTATTATTTATTATTTATTATTTGTTATTATTTATTATTATTATGTTACGAATGTGTTTTACACTAACATTATATGAGATCTGTTACAATTTTTTTATCGCATTATAAAAATATCGAATTTTTCAGTTAAATTGCAATAAAAGATTATATTAACATTTTTAAAAAGAAAGATTATAAATAATAAGGAAAAATTATAATAATAATAAAATCGTATAATAATAAATGATAAAAATATATTAGCATTCTTTCTCATGTATACTTCAATTTGTACAAATTTTAAAAGTAAAGCACACAAGATTGAGAAAATCATCCCTCATGCGTGCACCTTCTTTGAAAAGAAATTTTAACTTTGAGATTAACTTTACGATTACCTATCTCGATAATTAAGCTTGAGATCAAGATACCATTCAAGTAAAGTTCGCTCGGAATTAATTTGAGGAATAAGATCTTATCTGTTTATAATGCTCCCGAGGCTTCATTCTCAATATCAGCTCGAGGAACCAAGTAGTCGGGCTACCGTCTTCTCCCTCGCAAATATTATCGAGCGGGACATTGATAATAATTTTACTGACGCTATTCAATGCGGTCGAAAGGGTCACGGCTTTCACACCGGGGGAAGCTGGGAAAGATACCCACCTATCCTAATGAAATCAGGAAGAGCCGCGGCGTGGGCGGCGAGGAGCGCCAGCAGCAGCAGCAGCCACCTCGCAGCCATTTCCGGTTCCGGTTCACCTCGCCGCCTCCCCCGTCCTCCGTCGCCGCCACCACCGCCGTCGCCTGCAGCCTTTCCTTCTCCTTCCTTTCTCCCTTTTCCTCCCTCTGAACTCTTCCTCTCTTCCTCCCAAGGGAACTTACGCCACTGGAAAACAAGATTGGACAGCGAGTTCATTAAAATGCACGCTGCAAGCCTTCGTATCCGGCCTGAATATCTACGTTCGTATAAGATAATTGTGTTTCGGGAACGACATCATTGATCGCCGACACAAAATCGGCTATGATTATCGCTTTACGAGAACCGGAAATCAATGGCAGAACGGGATCAAGTGATAATGGACCTTTAAACTAATCATCGACATCGTGATAGGATACATCGTAGGACGAAAAAATTGCGAAGCATTAAACCCAAAATTGGATAGATGACATCATATTTAATTAATAATGTACATACTTCTATGTGCGTATTTGAATACATGTATTGAAATCATCGTTTATTAAGTATTCACAAAATTCATTTATTTAAAAGAATGTATTTTTTTAAACGCCACAAACTGCTTTCTTAGTGCGTCATTGCATCACTATCTCTCAAATGGCAAAAATGTATAAAAAACATAAATATTTTCTACTAATAATTAGCAATTATCAGCGTGCAATTAATTAACTTCAATAATTAATGTATAAATATATTAATTAACTTCAATAATTAATGTATAAATATATTGAGGCAATTTATTAAAAAAAATATTTTGCACGATTTATTTATTTGAAATAGGAATTAAAATGAAATAGGAAATCATAAATTATTATTTCGTTATTCACGAAGATAATTAGTTCTTTAATAACGTTTGAATTCAAATATAACGCATTTTAAATTTTTTATTGATTTAAATATTAAATTTTTTCGAAATACAATTTTATGAATCAAAAGAGCGCAAAAATAAAATTTAAAATATAATAAAAATCACTTAATCGAATAATTCAAGCAACGAGTCGGAATATATTAATCCTTTATTTATAACAAATGTACCTCATAATATTAATGCATTCGACATATATTATGCATACAATAATGAATTTTGATATTTTGAACAGCTTTATCACACTCCTAATTTGACTTTATTATAATTGTAGATATACAAATATTTTCAATGTATTTAAAAAAAAGAAATATATGATAAAAGTTTTTTTCATTTGAATTGCTTATTTAAGAATTATTATATTAGATTTTATAAAAGTTTATAAGAGAAAAAAAAATATATTCGAGAATTGTATAATTATTTTATTAAATGTATATATCTTAATAGAAAGAAAAATAAGAACTATTAATGCGCGTAATCATAATAATCATTTTTATAAATTAATTATTTCGTTCACTGTTATTTAAACACATTCGCATTAGATTAATGTTTATGTTACAATTTAATCGCTCATAATAAGACACGGGAAATGAAGTTACGAACATAAAAATGAAAATTTTGCATGTTAGTCACTGTTTTTTTTTTTTGTAGTTGCTGCGTAGCTCTTTTAAATTACGCAACATGTATATGAGCATATCTATTTAATGCTCTATCGGTGATAGAGTGCGCGCGCGCAGGTAAAGTTAATTAAAAATGTAAATAGTAAAATTTCAACATGCGAATAATTGCGGTTGGACAACGCGACATAATGACAAAATAATTATAACAGATATAAATGTCTCTCATTCGTCTCTTTTTAAATATAAGTTTTGTAAGATGTTACACACGAGTGTATATGCCGGCAGTTTGTATTGTAGTATTATGAAACGTCGTGCTGAATATAATTCCAAAACATATTACACGCTGAAATATATTCTGCGAAATACCAAGGCATCTTGCTTCACCCAGTTCCTCCCTTTTGTTACCTGCTCTTGTTAGCTGCCCCGTGATACTCTATGAGGGTAAATATTACATATACGGTCGGATATCGCGTAAGAAATGCATATGAATGGTCGCTAATTTTAAATCACAACATTTCTAGGTATAAGTTGTTATCTCATTTAAATTTTCACGAATGATTGTTATATTTTAACATAATATTTTTCATAACTGCCCCAAGCATTTTTTGATTTATACGATTTAGTTTTCGATTCGAGAAAAAGGAGAATAAATTCTTACATATATTTAAAATATTTAATTTTTTTTCCACCTAATATTAATTATTAAAGTATAAATTGAGTCTTCAAATTCTAAAAAAAATTATAAATTATAAATTTTTTGTTGAAACATGATGTATGAAAGTAGATTTTGATTTTCCAAATGAAAATCTCTATTCAGTTAATCATCTATGTTCGTTGATTCTTCAACGAACTTTTTACAAATAACGAAGCATGTGATTCGCCGCGCTTCTCACGTTTACAAAGTAATATTACGACGATTAAAATTAAAAATACGATAATTACAGCTTCAACACGGATAGTCGGTTAAGCAAAGACACTGACGGAAACGGGGAGAACGAGCGAGAGAAAAAAGGTGGAGGATCGCGCGCGTTTTTCAAACCGAGAGTTAGAGGGCTTTTTTTTTCGTAATGCGTGCCGCGAACGTGTAGTTACAATGGCCATGCGTGTACAATATACGAGCTTCGCGAGAGCGCTGATGTGAGTCAGAATGCGCAAGGTTGGTAAATGTAGGCAGGAATACAGTGAAAATACATAGCGCTGCGCCGCGTTGCACCGAACCAGCATATAGAACAGTGCCATGTGTTCTAGAAAAATATTTGTTAATCCTGCAATGCAGATTCCGTAAGCGGCGTAAATCCCTTATTCGCCTTTGGAAAATCCGCTCTTTCATTATGGGGAGTTGTCGCGCGCGCGAGGATGGATCGCGTTTATTTTTCCGTTTGTTTTCCCCGAGCTTTTTGCTCGGCGCATACGTTATTCATGAAATCGCGTTGAATTGTTTATAAGTATATTGTCAGAGAGATCGTGTCAATCGAGGACGCATGATTCAGCAACGCATGGTACGCAGATAAACTGCATCGCGATACTTTCGCCTTTATCATCATTTCGTGTTTCAGTCAATCGAGTCGCGATTTTAAAATACATCAACTCGAGCGATTAAACATTTCAATATTTTATCGAGCGTTTGATATTTTACGAATATCTTAAATTCTTTAGTGACATAATTCTCATAAAAAGAGCGCGGAATATTCCAAATTATGTAAACATTGTAGTTGCGTAAGTATAGTGTGTAATTACATTTATATCAGTTTGCCGAATGTTTTGTATTTGATACCGCTATACATTACGTTTCGGTTATATCCGAAATTACGCAGTCATGCTACTATTATCGGATCATCTCTACGATAGCGTACGCGCAATCAATTATAACTATCTTAAATTATATTATACGTTGTAGAAGCAATATAACGCTATGCAGTAATTTAACCTATGCGGTAAGCTGAAAGGCTGGCAAATGCGATTTATAGCTTCAATTTCGATGGTAAATGAACGACAATCATTAAATTCGCATAGCATCTAGAGATATAATTATTTAAGAAGTTATTGTATAAAAGGACATTTGTTGTAATATAATCCCATAGCAATTTTTCTCAAATTTTAACTTTTAATGAAGTTTAACATTAAATAATAAATTACATTCAATTAATTATATTTAATAATATGTATATTAAATTAATACATGATTAAATATATTTAAAATAATTAGAACAATATGGATTTAAATAATTACGTTTGTGACAAAGTTGAATACAATAGAATTAACAAAAAATACTTCCTAAATCTATATTGTTAGATTAATATTATTGTAATATATATAATACACGCGATGAATGAGGTAATATTAATTTTTCCGAATGTTTATATCCCTCGGGAGAATATTTACTCTTTATTATTTGTTTCTATATTATGTTTCTCGAGAGATTATCCAAAATCTCACACTGGTTCTCGTTGTCGGTAATACGAATTAATTTAATAGAACAGCAAAGACTGGCATTACAGTGCAACGTTATACACACTCGCAGCGTGCAGTGCACCATTTACCTATTTACCCATCCGCCGTGCACTGTTCCTAGAATTACCGAGTCGGGGTAGTTAACCGGGAAAACCGGCGCACCACTTCACAAAACGCCCCGTCGTTTCCGGTCTACGCCCGTGAGACCTTTCGGAGCGGAGCGAATATTGCCAAACGAGTAACGCATAGACACGGCAGTTAACACATGCATCGATAGCTGATTCTCTTTTCGCATAACTTATCAGGTTGCAGTCATTGGCTTCCTTCCGGGAGTGATGTTATTCGATTCGAGTGCGGATCTCGCATCAACATGGCTCCACGAATTTCCGATATATTGGCGAACTCGCAAATATAGCGCGCTTCCGCAGATGTGCCGCGAAACTCGAATCCTATTCGTTCTTTTTTTCCACGGCATGCAATTTCTACGCAATTTGTATCGCGCAGTTGTAACAGGACAAAGTAAAATTGGATTATATAAATGGCTGGTTACGCGTATTTTAATTTTCGATATTAAACCGATATATTTTTCAAATATTCAATATGTATATAATTTTTAAAATTTTTTATATAATTTTTTAAATATTCAATATGTTAAACATAAAGGGATCAAAGCTCTATAATTTCAAGTTGAAAACTGGACCGGAATTTGCTCGCGTTATTTATAAAATATTAAAATTATACTGTAGAATATACTGAGGAAAATATGAAAAAGGCAATAGAAAATAATGTGACACAAAATCTGCAAAACGCGAGCTTTCTCTCTTTTATACTAATTACATTTTTATTATCTTTTTATTATAAAAACTTTCTAAATAGAAAGAAGAGGATTACATTATGTTGGAAAAAAATATTAAGAATCTTTTTAGATTGAGATTCGAGCTATATAAACTTTCAAATTACCAATATATATCAAATTTATATCAAAATACAAGAAATTTACATTATGATTTTAAAAATAAATGTTAATATTAATGTAATTTCTGAAACACGCAATCACAATATATTTTATTAAAAATTATATACTTTGATTAATTACAATTTGATTAAAATTACAATCACTAGCTGAAAGTAGCAATAATTATATGATAAACTAACACATATACGAAAGAATTGTTTATAGTTTGGCAATTTTATAATTAGATATTATCGATGC